GCTTGTTCGTGCAAGGCGCGTAGTACAAGATCGCTCCGTCTCGAATCGCTGTTCAGTGTCAGTCAGTCCAAATCAATCCAGTCAGTCCCCATCAGTCCCCATCATCCCAAGCAGTCCCCATCATTCCAATCAGTCCAAGCAATGCCAATCAACGGAATCAGCCCCCATCAGTCCAATCTGACCCGTCAGTCCAATCAGTCCCTCCCTGCCCGCTCGGCCAGGATTCGATTCCCGATATTGTTCGCCGTGCTGGGTATTGGTGGGTGGTTCTTTCTCTTGGAAAACAACCCCGCGTGGGCTACCCTACACGGGGGAGGTTTTCGGAGCCTGTTCGTGCAAGGCACGTAGTACCAGATCGTTCCGTCTCGAATCGCTGTTCAGTGTCAGCCAGTCCAAATCAATCCAGTCAGTCCCCATCAGCAGTCCCCATCATCCCAAGCAGTCCCCATCATTCCAATCAGTCCAACCAATGACAATCAACCCGATCAGTCCCCATCAGTCCAATCTGACCCATCAGTCCAATGAGTCCCTCCCTGCCCGCTCGGCCAGGATTCGATTCCCGTTATTGGTTGCCGTGCTGGGTCTTGGTGGGTGGTTCTTTCTCGTGGAAAACAACCCCGCGTGGGCTACCGTACACGGGGGAGGTTTTCGGAACCTGTTCGTGCAAGGCGCGTAGTACAAGATCGCTCCGTCTCAGGTCGCTGCTCATGTTCAGTCAGTCCACATCAACCCAGTCAGCCCCCATCAGTCCCCACCACCCCAATCAGTCCCCATTTCCCCAATCAGTCCAATTAGCGCCAATAGCCCGAATCAGTCCCCATCAGTCCAATCCGACCCATCAGTCCAATCAGTCCCTCCCTGCCCGCTCGGCCAGGATTCGAATCCCGATATTGTTCGCCGTGCTGGGTATTGGTGAGTGGTTCTTTCTCTTGGAAAACAACCCCGCGTGGGCTACCCTACACGGAGGAGGTTTTCGGAGCTTGTTCGTGCAAGGCACGTAGTACAAGATCGTTCCGTCTCGAATCGCTGTTCAGTGTCAGTCAGTCCAAATCAATCCAGTCAGCCCCCATCAGTCCCCATCATCCCAAGCAGCCCCCATCATTCCAATCAGTCCAATCAATGCCAATCGACCCGATCAATCCCCATCAGTCCAACCTGACCCATCAGTCCAATGAGTCCCTCCCTGCCCGCTCGGCCAGGATTCGATTCCCGTTATTGGTCGCCGTGCTGTGTATTGGTGGGTGTTTCTTTCTCGTGGAAAACAACCCCGCGTGGGCTACCCTACACGGGGGAGGTTTTCGGAGCCTGTTCGTGCAAGGCGCGTATTACAAGATCGCTCCGTCTCATGTCGCTGCTCATGTTCAGTCAGTCCAAATCAATCCAGTCAGTCCCCACCAGTCCCCATCATCCCAAGCAGTCCCCATCATTCCAATCAGTCCAATTAGCGCCAATCAACCCGATCAGTCCCCATCAGTCCAATCTGACCCATCAGTCCAATCTGTCCCTCCCTGCCCGCTCGGCCAGGATTCGATTCCCGTTATTGGTCGCCGTGCTGTGTATTGGTGGGTGTTTCTTTTTCGTGGAAAACAACCCCGCGTGGGCTACCCTACACGGGGGAGGTTTTCGGAGCCTGTTCGTGCAAGGCGCGTAGTACAAGATCGCTCCGTTTCAGGTCGCTGCTCATGTTCAGTCAGTCCACATCAACCCAGTCAGTCCCCATCAGTCCCCATCACCCCAATCAGTCCCCATCTTCCCAATCAGTCCAATTAGCGCCAATCAACCGAATCAGTCCCCATCAGTCCAATCCGACCCATCAGTCCAATCAGTCCCTCCCTGCCCGCTCGGCCAGGATTCGAATCCCGATATTGTTCGCCGTGCTGTGTATTGGTGGGTGGTTCTTTCTCTTGGAAAACAACCGAGGGAGGAACTGCTGAGGGCGGAGCATCTCAGGTTTTCCTTAGGTTTTCCTTTGGTTTTCCTTAGGTTTTCCTTGGGTTGCCCTTAGGTTTTCCTTAGGTTGTCCTTAGGCTTTTCCTTCGGTTTTCTTTAGGTTGTCCTTAGGTTTTCCTTCGGTTATCCTTAGGTTTTTCCTTAGGTTTTCCGTAGGTTTCCCTTAGGTTTTCCTTAGGTTTTCCTTAGGTTGCCCTTAGGTTTTCCTTAGGTGTTCCTTAGGTGTTCCTGAGGTGTCCCTGAGGTCTTCCTTAGGTTGTCCTTAGGTTGTCCTTGGGTTTTCCTTGGGTTTTCCTGAGGTTGTCCTTAGGTTGTCCTTAGGTTTACCATAGGATTTCTTTAGGTTTCCCTTAGGTTTTCTTTAGGTTGTCCTTCGGTGTCCCTTCGGTTTTCTGTAGGTTTTCCTTAGGTTTCCCTTAGGTTTTCCTTAGGTGTTCCTTAGGTTTTCCTTCGGGTTTCCTTCGGTTTCCCTCAGGTTTTCCTCAAGTGTTTCTTAGGTTTTCCTCTGGTGTTCCTTAGGTTGTCTTTCGGTTTTCCTAGGTTGTCCTTACGTTCTCCTTAGGCAGTCGTTAGGCTGGATAAATCGAGGATGAAGTTTCTCACGGTCCTCGTGGGTTCCCTCCCTCCCCGTGGGGCCCGAGTTCCATTCGGAAAATAATATGTTCCATTATTGTTGGGGTCCCAGTCCGTCAATAAGCCCGCGGGACAACCATATATTTGCGCACTATTGGGGGGGGGTCAAAAGACCCTGTGGGTACCGCGTTGCATGTCATTGGCATCCAGGCGGTTCCCGTGATGACCACACAGAGGGGGAGTTGGGGCGAGAGAGCGGTCGATCGAGGACGGCGTTGAGGAATATTCAAAGACAGTGGGACCAGGTTAGGGAGAGAGTGGTCAAGGAGATGCGAGCAGCACGACTCAGGGGGAAAGAGAGAGGTCAAGAGGAAATACGTATGCCTATATCTATATACACAAGACTGCATTGGCACTTCGCGCTATGCACCTTGGTCCTTGTAGTTTGGCATTCAGACGGAAAGGCAGGAAGGTCAAACAGACAATTTATCGATAATTATTTGTTGCCTTTTCCGGCATCGCCGTTATAATAATGTGTTTCATGTTCTTTCCTCCATGCTTATTTTTCCTCATTCTCGCCGTACCCTGCGAATTCTTCCCCTTTCTCCTCAACTCTTTTTTCCGAGGCTCCTCCTTGGAGAGCCTGTGGGGGCCTGACAGAAATTTCAAGGCTTTCGTAAGGCCTTCTGGAGGTCTCCTGGGCGTCATCTGGGGCCCTCTGGGGGCTTCCTCGGGCCACCCTGCCTCCAACCGCGATCTCTCTGAACGACCGGGTCGCGATTTGGAGTGTTGCGGAGGTTGTCTTGGGGCCATCTTGGGGGCCATTTTGGAAGCCTGTTGTGCCGTCTTGGGGATCTCTTGGACTGCCTGGAAGCCCTTTCGGATGGTTTTGGAGCGATTTTCGGGCCTCCCAGGCGGTCTCGGACGCCCAGACCACCGAAGAACAGGGCATCCCCACAATCACGCAAAGATTTTGGAAAATCAATGTTTGTATTCGGGCGTCTGGTGGATGTCTGGGGCCTCTTGGGGCCCTCGGGGGGGATTCGGCCGCTCCTGACCGATTTGGGACCGTTGCCGAGGCCCAGCAAGGGCTTCCAGGAGCTCTGAAAAAGCCTGGGGGGCATCCTGCAGGGGCGTCCAGCCCCCGGGGTCACCGATCCGGGGGGTCCAGAGGATCCCTGGGGGCCTGGGAATCGGGGGGTCTCATTTCGGGGAGGGGGGTCCCGGGTAATAGAAATCATGAATGGGAGTATACACACAATTGCATGGGAAGTGAAAGAGAGAGAGAGAGAGGGAGAGGGAGAGAGAGGGGGATATACAGAGGTACGGAGCCGGAGATGACGGCGGCAGAAATCTGCGCGGGTTCGAGATGCTTTGAGCACCCGCAGCCGCCGCAGGAGGTGCTGAACGCCCTGGGGAAGGACCTCCAGCGGCCGGAGTCTCCCCGCAGCATGATGGCGCGCGCCCCTCGCGGAGCTTTTGCACGCGGCAGAGTGACAAGGTTGGGCGGCGCGCCAAGGGGGAATGACTTCAGTCAGGCATGTCCCCCTACAGGAGGAATATTCAAAAGCAGTAAAAAATAGTATGGGGTCGTTTTTTTTTTTTTTTTTTTTTTTTTGTTTTTTTTGGATTATTTCTGAGATTGGTTAGAAGTTTTGTTTCAACTGTCGCCCCAAGTCCGCCTGCAAGAGGACATGCCAGACCCGACGGAAGACACTAGGGGGCGGGCCTTCTCGGAAGGCTCGGAGGGCCAACGGCCTTCCGAGAAGCTCTCGCAGCCTCCTCCCGAGCCGCAGGGGGGCTCCTCGGAAGCCACAGAGGGCCGTCGAAGAAGCCCCAGCGCCTTGGAGAGGGCCTGCTTCCTCTCGGTTCCCCCCTCGGCGCGCCGCCGACTGCAGCGAGTAGGATTAGGTCGGGCATGTCCTCCTGCAGGCGGACTGTGGAAGTAAAGTTAAGAATCTTCAAACATTGCACCAACATAGCTGAAGCATAATGAAAAACCGTCCCCAGACTATTTGTTCTCCTCGTCTTGAGTGTTTCTCCTGTCGGGGGACAGGCCCGACTCAAGAGTAGGAGGAAGACGATGAGGAGCAGAGATCGAACGTGTATTCCGAGGATGCTGCCAAGCAGTCGTTTGAAAGCTTCAACTGGGGCGTCCAAGGACCGCCCAAGTTCTTGCGTCCTTACTGCCGATTTTGACTGCAGAAGGATACGACGAGGAGCAGAGGTCGAGCTTGTGTCCCGAGGGTGCTGCCAAGCAGTCGCTGGCAGGCGGTGCCTCTCCCGGGTCGCCCGCAGGGGCGCGGAGGTAACGTCGCGTGCAGCGCAGCGCGGTCCGAGCCGGAGCGGCGCCCTTCTCTCCGCGGGGGCGGCGCGAGGGCGCGCCGGGCGCGCAAGGATCATCGCGCAGCGCGGGGCGCGATGCGCGAAGTCTGGTGACCTAGACGAGGAGGAGGAGGGGAATCAGAAAAAACGCCATAAGCATCAGCTTTTGACGTTCTGTCTTCTTATGAGCTGCATTCCGAGAAGACTGCAGGTAGTCGCTGGCCAGAGGTGCATCTCGTGTGGATGCGTCGCGGGCTGCTGCTCTCACGTCCCTCCATGGCTGTTCCTCTGGCACTCCTCCTGTACCCAGGCGCTTTGGGAGCCAAACGGGGGCTTCGCTCCTTCGGCAGAGGGAAACAATTATAGACACTCCACCTCTGCCCCGAACTCAAAGTTGACACGCGCGGAGGCGACTGCGGTCGAAGTGCAACTCATCAGACCCACCGCCAATCTTGAACATTTGGGGGGAGGGGGAGGCGTTGACCGATGAATGTGGCACGCGTGTGCGCTATTTTTGCGAGGCCTGCAGCACTTGTGCCCAGGCGCTTTTGGGGCCAAAATGGGGCGTCGTTCCTTGCTCAGCGTTCCTTGCTGTGCGAGGTCGGGGCAACAGTGCGCCGCACACATGCGTGACACGTCCAGGTCGTCACCTCTGGAGGGTGGAGGTGGAGGAGGTAGGGAAGGAGGGGGGGGGGGGTAAAGAGGCGGGAAAGGAAGAGTGAGGGAGGAAGATGGGTAGGCTGAGGCGGAGGTCCGTGTCATTTTGTATCCAAATCCGACGCCGTGTGCGGAAGCTCGAACCTCTGCTCTCAGAGTGGCAGCGCGTCTGGGGCCTTTCTTGTCCTTGGTCACGCGCGGCGTGCGATGGCCAGCGGTTCTCACTGGCTGGAAATGCCCCGTCTGCGCGTATTTGCGCATGTGGTCGGGGTGCAGTGGACGGTGCCCCGAGGGGGATGGGGCTCCTCCTCGGCAGTTTGGCTGCGTTCCTCTTGGGGTCCAGGCGTTGAGACCTCCCGCAGACGGGCCAACGGCGATGCAGGTAGCGGCAGTGTAGGTGCCAGCAGTGTGGTCTAACGCGTGGCTTGCGCTTTCTCTCCTGTAATCCGTTGCGTCGTGTTGGCTCGATCCGTTCGCAGGACTGGCAGCGCAGGAAAGCGCGGTCGCGATGTCCTATAAGTCGGTTCCTAACAGCACCGTCTGGGCAGAGCATCGCTGCTCGCCCTTCGCCTTGGCCCTCTTGGGGTCCGGACCCGTGGACCTCCTCCCTCAATGGGGGCCCCTGCAGGCGCGGAGGCGCGATCGGAGGCTACCTCCCCAGGGGGAGTGGCCGTCGACCACCCTGCGGCTCGTTGACACGTTCCAGCACGCGGTCATGACTTCGGTACCATCGGCTGCCCAGTCCCGTGCCCTGGGTGGGCGGAGGCCCGACCATTAATAGCAATCATCTCAAACCATCAATACCATTAATACGGATAACCCCAAACCATTAATACCATTAATTAGTACATTAGGGAACCATTGATCCATTATGTAGAACTTTCTAGCTCATTTCAGACGATCGCAAACATGGATCAAGGGGGCGTGGATTAGCGACGGGTCCCGTTTCCATGAGACGCGGATTTCCGCCGCCGAACGAGGCCGCACCAGCCGCATTTTGGGGAGGGCACCTCCCCCGATCCATGTTTGCGCGCCCCCGATCATTGACACGTTCCAGCACGAGGTGATGACTTCGGTGCCATCGGATCAGTTCGAGTCAGCCTTCGCTTCGCCGTCCCCTCAGTCGAAGAAGGAAAAACACCATAGGCATACACCTTTGGCGCTCTGCGCAGATTTCTTGGATCCGCGCTGGGCCCCCTCCGGCGGCGCCTCCGGCGCCGCCCCTGGCGCGCTCCGCGCGCCGGGGAGGGGCGTCTGGCGCGGGTCCCAAGAGATCCGCGCGGACCTCCAAAAGCTTATGTCTGTCCTAAACATGAACTTTTACCAACCAAACACATAAAGCCACTTTTCCTATATCAAGCTTGTGCTTCACAAGAAGACCGCATGAGCAGTGTATTGTGGTTGGTTGTTCCCCTTGTTCCGCCGCCCCCCCCAAGCGAGCGAGCAGCAGCCGAGCACGCGGCCGGGCGCGTGGGCAGCCGGGGGTGCGCCTCTCTGGCAGCCCCGGCAGCCCCGCGGGGAGGCGGGCAGCGGCGCCGGCGCGAGGGGCGCGCGGTGCGCGGCGCGGGCGGCGGCCTCCGCCGGCAGGCAGTGCGCGCGCACGGCCCGGCAGGCGGTGAGCAGCAGCAGCAGCCCATGCAGCAGCGAGGGCCTCCTCTTGCTGCTCCTCCTTCCTCCTCCTCCTTCTGCTCCTCCTCCTCCTCCTCCTCCTCCTCCTCCTCCTCCTCCCAATGGGGTCAAGACGGGCGTGCGCCGCGCACACTGAAGCTGCAACCCTCGACAGAGTCGGCTTCCAGAGTCGTCGGCGCGCCCCTTGCGATGCCGCTCCCCTCCGGGCCTTCGGTCTCGCCCCCGAGTGAAAGAGCGCCCCAGCAGCGAAAGCGTGCACCGCGCACACTGAAGCTGCAGCCCTTGGCAGAATCGACTTCAAGACTTGTTGGCACGCCCCTTCCATGTCGCTTTCGCTCGGCCCTTCAATCTCGCCCCCATTCAATGTCGAAGCGGACCGAAGTGCGGTCTGGGCCAGCGCGACTCGGAAGTGCCACGATGATCGACGTTAGAGAGTGGGCGCCAACAGGTAATTTCTTCGCACGTGACGCGCTTTTGAGGCCACTTGTGACGATGCGTTGCTGACGTCGACGATGCATCGGCGACGCGGCGCGATCCTCCGATCCCACCTGCTCGGACCCCACCTGGGAGGCCTCCGGTGGCGCTGCCAGCCCTCGTCCCGCAGTCTGGCAGGAGGGCCCAGGCGGCCACTGTGGTGCACTCGGCGGCGAGCCCGGGGGGGAGGTGAGAAGGAGCGGGCCTTCTCAGAAGGCTCGGAAGTCCCCCGGCTTCCTGAGAAGTCTTCTGAGCCTTCCCCGAAGGCGCAGCAGACAAATGCCCAGAGGGCGCGAGGGCTTCTGAGGAGTCCCGCCGCCCTCTGAGAAGGCCTTCGCCTTCTCGCTTCCCCCCCTCGCTCGCCGCCGATGTGCGGAGACGGGGGCTCCGGCGCGCGCGCCGCGAGGCGCCGAAGAGGGGGGGAGGGCCGCAGGGCCGGCGGCGCCGCGTGCCGCTGGCCCCTGCGGCGGGCGGGGGGGGGCCCGCGTCGCGGCTCCGCCGTGTTGCTCGGGCAGCGCGAGAGGGGCGTTTTTTTAGAAAACCACCGTACTCAAAAATAGGAAAAAAATGTCAGGGGACGATGTTTTGAGTATTTTTGGCCGCCCGCCGCCGACGCATGCCAAGAAGCATCCTGCTCGCCTCCAGGGGGCCCTGGATTTCGAGGGTTTTACTGTGGAGAGCGCGACGTTCCCACGTCAGAAATCGATGGGCGCCCTGGGGTCTCAGGGTTGGGTTTCTTGGGGTCTCAGGGTTGGGTTTCTTGTGGAAGGTTTCTTGTGGTCTGGCTTCCACTGTATCTGAGGCTGTCTCGAGGCCCGCTGGCCAATCGGCAGATTGTGGAGCAAGGCGACGTCCATCACAATCGGAAAAAAGACAGCGGCATAAACATACAACGTCAGAAGAGCTCCGCGCGGATCCATTGCGTCGGTGTTGATTTCCTGGCGGCGCCTCCAGCGCCGATCAATGAAATCTGCGAAGCGCTCCGAAAGCTTATACGCTGATGCAATGTCTGTACTCCTCTTAGGCAAGCTCGTCAGGTGTTGTACCCCAGTTGGGACCGACCGCTCGGGGCATGCGGCGGTCGTTCGTTCGCTCGAGCCGCGGAGGTGCGAGCGGCCGCCAGTGGATTCCGTTCCGCCTCATGCAGAGTCCCATGATCCGCTGCCAGCGGGCCATCCGGAGGACGGCGGAGGGTTCCGGCTCTCTGGAGGGGGAGACCAGGGTTCTCATTGCTCCCGGGTGCCCCCGGGGGACCCAACCAAGGCGGCCCGCCCATAAGTGGCACCGTGTGGTGACTGTTGTGTGCTTTCTATGTGTATCTGTTTGGGGAATCCTGGGAGCTCTCTTGAGGGGTCGGCGAGGCGTTCCCTGG